AAAACTAATATATGAACTAATATATGCGAAAAATGTACGATGGCAAGTCTAATACAAAAGGATTACGTAATGCCCAAAAGTATTCAAACACTAAACAATGCAATTGTCTCGTGTTCAACGTCTTGGTAACCATAATTGTTTCTCGAACGGGGAACGCTGGAGCACTCTAAATAAAGAGATACAAGAAAATAGCCCATGCCGAGTAATAGGCTCTTGGTGGTTTTCTGTTTGTCTAGTGCTAGTATTTTAGTTTTTAGAGTAAAACTGTAGTTTTTAGAGATAGTTTTGTAATGCGCCTCGGGCAAATAATGGATGTGTGCGCTATATAAATGAACTATTATTATTATTATTATTATTATTATTATGATCATTATTATTATTATTATTATTATCATTAGTACTATTATTATTATTATTTCAAAAGTACTCAATAAAGTTTGTTTTTCATCAAAATTTTAGTCTACGATAGTGGAATATATGTGAAGATTTGTAAATAGGTTTTCTGAAAAATTTTTATTAAAATTCTTGTTTTATTATTTTTAATAAAGTTTGTTTTTATTATTTTTATTATCATCATCATCATCATCATTATTATTGTTATTATTACTATTATTATTATTCTTACTGTTATTATACGGCGTAGTCGTTGATTTGATTAAGCCTAGTTTTTTCTAACTTTGTTAAAGTTTTAACATTAATTTTTTGTCGTCTTTTTCAGTCTACAGTCAAGAAAAAACTTTTTCCTGTATAAGTTTAGCGCTGAAATGTTATAGCCATGATCCCAGTAGTCGTTGTTGTTGTTTTCAGCGTTTATCGTGTGAAAGAAGCTGCTGGTCTACTCGTTTCAAAGCTGATTAGGGGCAAAGACAAAAACAAACAGTAACAACAACAACAACAACAACAATCGAAAACAGAAAAAAAAAACAGAAAAAGTAGATAATGAATGATAATCAACCTCATAACGTAATTCAAGGTGTACAAACTGGGGTTGGTAAGGTTGAAAATGAATGGATGTTGTCTAAGTCGTTCTTAGTTTTTCGTCACTTTCACAGCAACCTCCTTATTCAAACTTCCTCAGTATTTCTTCTTCCACTTGTTTTTCCAAATCACTCCCCCCTCTAATCTCAATCAATTCAAGGCCCTAACTTCATTCTGCCATACTTTCGGTTCTCAACTTCACTCTTCTATCTCCTGTGGGCAAAACCGAAAGCGAGGGTGTCGAGTGAATGGGGACGTCTCAAAACTATCTTTCCTTCGGAGTTTTGCGGAGAAAACGCTGGTTATCGATATCACGGGAAGACCAACTAACAACTGGTTACTCGAATAAAAATAGAACGATTTGTATTAATCGACCGGAAGTCCAGAAAGACAAGAGGCGGTGGAGTGGGCCGGAATGAACCTCGTTCCGGAGCGAGGGAGGATGAAGGGTGATAGAATTAGCCCCCTATATAGGTGTTATTCTCAAGTTATTTTTAGACATGGTATCTAGTTCTTGCGTGGATAACGGGAACACGCGCGTTGCGTGGATGTTTTCGTGGAGGATACCAAGGCGTGTAAAACTGTTTGAGCGACGCAATGAACAGAACAGTCTTGAAAAAAACAATTGAAATTTAATAGTCAGAATTTGTAAATATTTCATTAAAACTTTACAATATATGAGGTGTAGTTAAAAATGGCTAAAGTTAAATACCATTTTCTCAAAATTACTTTTTGTTATCCGGGAAATAAAAGGACTGGTGCGTTCCGGCAAATCTTCGTCATTGTATGAAGGGTTTTTGATTTACAAATGTGCATTTCGATCAAATTAATTAGAAACGACGGAAGCATTTAGAAACTTATCACGTGACCTCAGGAAACGTACCCTCGTATTGCTTAGCAACACACACGTCAAACGTCTCAGCCTCTTCGTATCCCGGTATACTTCTTGACTGCTTTCAGACAAAATTTTCATTAAAAAAAGTAATTGAAAGCTTTATTTTAATGGCAAAATAATCTCCATATAAACATAATTCCATCAAATTCGAAGGTTTTAGATTTTAGATACATATGTACACAGAAACCTACTTTGATTGTTTCAAACATCAAAGGAGTGTACAGGATAAGAATTTTGATTATTAAATACTATTTTTAATAATTAAATAACGCCGGTGATTCAAGTTCGTTTCTGTGAACAAAATAGTCTAATTAAAGGGGTCAGTGTCACCTAATTTTAGCAGGAGTCACAATACAGTCCTAAATCATAAGAAATCTAACAATCGTTTGATTTTCTAGAATATACTCGAATATTAACAAGAAAGTGAAGAAGACCAAAGATAGTCAGATTGGAAATGATTTCCCATGACAGGCTTAAGTTTTTTAAGTGTGGCTGAGTTCATAAATGTTTCGGTAATATTTTGAAATTTCTCACCTTCACAGGCGTAATATGTGACCTCCATTTTCCGTATTTATCCTCCCGTATTTATTTTCCAGCGATAACGGAAAACCAAAAGAAAAAAATTCTTACTTTATTTAGTGATTTGTGCCGACTAGAGTTTGACTCAAAAGATTTCCGGCAAAAATAATAGAAAAAGAGAAAAGAGACCTCAGCAGTGAACCGCTGGACTTCTTACTGTCCGAAAAGAGGTTTTTAACTGGTTTTATTAGGCGTACGCATGCCTCAGAACGTGTACACGCTGCCCGTTATGTAGTGCTACGTGCAGTCAAGTCTTTTGACGTCAGTTTTACGTCATACGTTACGTGAAAGAAAACCGAGTGGTTCTAAGCAGAGGTTCTTTTCCAATTCAATTTGTATCTGGCCCCTCAAGGACCGCATACATAGGGGACTCAAATCCCAGATGTGGTCCCTCTAGGACGTCGTACATGGGAGCACAAGCGAAATCGTGACCAGGTCCCTCAGGGACATTATATAGGGGTGCTGAATACGATGGGCCCTGATCTGAAGTCCTGTTGGAAGCCTCCTTTGCCGACATCTCTTCGAGTTCATCTAGATCCGCATAGTCAGCATACTCTGGTGACTCGTCGACGTCTGCTGGGGGTGGGCCTGTGGAGTACGGTGGTTGATACTGAGGGGGGCTAGGAGAGATTTTTCCTGCGGTTTCGCTGGGGTTAAGAAGGACTAGATATTCAGGCGCTTCGTCCCGGTGCTGAAAGATAAGAAAATTGTTATTGCATTAGTCGAGGGTAACAATTACTCGGAAGGGCCTGTTTACGCGGGTGGCGAATCAACCATCTGCACCACCGTAACATTCTGGGGCCTGTCGAATTCGCCTCACCATCTTCCCGTTGAAAATTAACAAATTGTAAGTTTCCCACTGCCTTGTATTCTGCCGGTGCGCCTGAACTTTGAATTGTCCAATCACGATTCGGCAGGTGAGAATGACTGTACTGTTCTGACGTCAAATGCATGTTAGCAGGAAAGGCATTGAAGTCGGGTAACGTTTCTCGCTGGAGGCGGCATACAAAATTCAAGAAATGGGATTTATAACTCCAAAACCATATCAGAATGTAAAAAGTGAAACATTATGAAACATCACGTGTCTCCAAGCTTTAAGTTTGGCGCGAAAAATGGGTCGCCCGCGTCCGGCAACTCGTTCGTCGCGTGTCGCCAGTCAGGATAACACCTGTGTTATTTTGAACGAAATAAGACGTTCCTCGTCATATTAAACGTAGAATTCTCGAGTTAGGTATAAGAAGAGGCCAGAGCAACTTTAACATTGTTTTTATTTTTGTTGGCTGCGTAGAAAAAGGCTTTTATCGTGTCATTACGGTAGGACAGCTCGGCTTTGACTGCCGCTCGTACTACGAGCGAAGCAACGTGACAACAAGTTGACGGGGTTGCGGGGTGGGGGACCAGCGAAAGATCAGCATCCCTTTCACACGGAGTAGCAATACAGGCCCCAATAGCCTGCGTAGCTGGCGAGATGATGTGCCGCACGAATGCGCGTTACATCAGGGGCGAGGACGCGAAGGAATTTCCGCGAGCTTGACTGCCCTCCATTCTTCTTGTGGATTTAGTTAGAGGCTAGGCCGCTGAAACAAAGCACTCACGCGCGAAATTCAGTCGAATACCCTATTTTTCACTTCGCCGCAGACTCAGAGGCACAAAGAGAGTTAAGTTTTAAGTCGGTACGAAACAAGTGCCTAGATATCATCGGCATACCAAGAACATCCCTCCCAATGTTAAAGGGAAGATGTAAAGTAACGACAAAAGATGAATTTGAAAGAATTGTGCATGATATAAATCACCTAAATCAAACATTTCTCACAAAGCCAAATGAGCACAAAGGGCGCTAATTAGAATTGCCAGGGAAAGACATCTCCCTGCACCCACGCACTAGCAAAGAAAAACTGACATCATAAGAAATGAGTACCTTATGTACCGTGTTTTTTAGCAGTGGTTGATATATAACGCCATCGGGGTTTAAACTCTGGTAGGTAGCGTTCAGTTCGGGTCTGTTGTGCGCGCGGGCTTCCTCGTTCACCAAACTCTGATAAACAGATTTCACTTCATTTGGTTTCCCTCTTTGATTAGATCTGACATCTGCACTGTCGTAGGTGTTTTCCTTGGTATGCGGGATTCTTTTCGCTGTGTTAAGCAGTTTTCTCTGTACATTATTCAACTTAATGGTTTGGTTGTCTTTCGCACCAGGATTCGTCAGTAGCAAATCGTCGCAAGTCTCGTAAGACGGATTACCTGCAAATAAGCCAGAACAATACTCGTTTTTATTATATGGCTAGCTCCGTGAGCGGGCAAGATGAATCAAATCCTGCGCTGTGATTGGCTACCCGAGCGGGCAAGATAAAGCTATCTTGCCCGCTCGGGACTACCCGCCGCGTCCCGCNTACCCTATTACCCTAATACCCTATTACCCTAATACCCTATTACCCTAATACCCTGATACTCTAATACCCTGATACCCTAATACCCTTACCCTAATATTCTGATACCCTAATACCCTAAGACCCTAATACTATAATACCTAATACCCTAATATCCTAATAAAGAAATTCCCTAGTACCCTAATACCTTATACACTAATACCCTGATACCCTAATACCCTAACAACTTAATACCTAGCCTGCAGTACAGACGTCTTATTGGGGCGAGCTAGCGTTACAACCTTGCGACCGCCTTTTTAGACCGCCATGTTAGACCGCCACGTTAGACGGTGGGGGATGGGGGAGGGGAAAAATGAGAAGACGCCTGCCCGAAAAGCCCGTTAAAATGTGAAACACCTCCTGATTAGTTGCGCTTCACCGCATTTCCGGAAATGAGGGGGTAACCAATCAAAATGAGGTTTTCTCGACATCGGAAGTCTCACAAGGGTACACACCACGAGAAGTTTGTGCCAAGTTTGTGCCAATACCCTAATACCCTAATACCTAAATGCCCAAATACTTAAATACACCAATACTTTAATACCCCAATACTCTAGTTGATGCTTGGCTATATTTCAGAAGACAGTTTGTCTTGTGATTTGTATCAATATTATGTCCTTCAATTTAAAGGTCTTATGTGGTTCTTATGATAACTTGTTACACTGCACACTCTGAAAAGAAATGTTTGAGTGCATTGGAGTCATGTGTGATCAGCGTGCCCCTCTGAGACTAGGCCAGATTTCTGTAACAGTCAATCAAAGTAATGTTGAATATTCATGTTGGAAGGTGCGGCGAAACACTTAATGACTTATTTCAAGTAAACTCACAATTTCCCTTGGGGTTGAAATACAAAGATAAATAAAAGTAAATAATACCTGTTGTTCCAGCATCATAATTACCACCATTCCTGCAAATAGAAATCAGAAAGCTTGAACAAAATTATAGAGTACATATTTTATGATACTCAATATCTTTTAGTTAATGCATGTTAGAGATTTACTTAGAATTTAGAACCAATATTATATACCCCTTAACTAACAGTAACACAATACATGTATTTGAACAAATTGCTTGTTGATAGTTTTCTTGTTAAACACTACAGTTCCAACAGGCTTGCAAGTATTAGCCTACTATTACCCTTGATCCCCTCGATCAACATCCGCATCGATGGTCGGTTGACACTGACTCAATTGACACTCGCTCAACAGTCGGTTATATGCATTGATCAAAACAGTAAACTTAGTCAACTCTCAACCAACTGTTGACCAAGATGTCAATCAAGTGTCGACCACGGTGTAGATGAAGTGTTGATCGAGTAACAATTGATTGTTGATTGAGGATATCGATGGACACTCGACTGTGGATGCCTTTACTACACAATGATCCAAAATTTATAAGTTTCAATTATGACATTAGCTGACTCCTAAATCACAAAACTACTTGGCACCCAAGCAACAGGGCTCTGCAAAGACCTTGCAAATCTAAAGTCCAGCTTTGGAAGGTACATGTAGTGTGAAAGTCATATTTCTACCATACTCAAGCAGTTTAAGGCCTGGGTCAGGGATGTAAAGTAGAATTATGGTTGGGCAGCTATATCTCTTGTTATATTTGTGTCATAAAGCTGACAATTTTCCTGATTGTAAAACTTGGTGTCCTGCCTTGCCTTAACATATTATTTTGATCAAGTGACTGCTCACATGATCATTTCGTTAAAATCTAGTAAATCGGTGAATTGGTGACGAATTTTAATTGAATTGATCAATAAAAATTAATGAGCGTTTCGATGCAAGTTTGGACTATCTACCTTGCTACATGTAAGTTTGGAATGTTCTTCCTTGATTTCGTTTTTAGAAGATATATAAGAGATCAAAAGTCAAATTTTGTTGAAAAAAACGACCTTTGACTCTATAAAATTTTTCTGCACAAAGAGGGACAGTCATTCCAAACATGAGAGGAGGAAATAATTGACCCGCATTAAAACACATTTTTGTTTGAAGGTAAAAAATTGCTAAAAACCACCACCAATTCCCCATATAATGGTGATTTTCCACTATGTCACGTGACCTGTCAGAAGCACCAATTCTACTTTAAAAGGTTCAGGATGTTAAGACCTAGCTTTGTGCTAAATTTGGTCCCATTGTCATTTATGCATTCAGAAATACAACCAATAAACTGCTTTTACCAGTAAAAGTCTTTGATCCAGGCCTTAAACTACTAGAGATTAAGTTACCTGTGCTTTCTTCTCTGACTGATTATAAGCCACACGCACAGTAAAATGAGAGCCACACATATCACAGCTGCCACACCAGCTACAATAGCGATCATCATCTTGTCCTCTTTCTTGTTCTTGTTTCTGTCTTTGTTGGGTTCTTTCCTTCCTAAACTACTAGAAGTTGGTTCAACAGTTGTCGCATCTCCCACAGTTGATTCTGTTTGTGATATCTCAGTTGTAGCAGCTGCTGACTCAGTAGAACTTTCTGTTAGTACAAGGCTTGTGCTGAAAGATGTCTTCTGTGAGATTGGTGACGGCCGACTGGTTGCTTGAGTTGTTTTTTTGGAGGTTGGAACCTACGGAAGAGAGAAAAAAAAGGCGTTGCTTTTGAAACAGTTGATGGGCTCCCTAAGGTTGAAGTCAAACTCGCCATAGCACTACTAGTTCTCTGTGTCGTCAGCCTCACTTGAGTTGTCACCTTTACTTGCTTAGTTGCCTTTACTTGCGTAGTTGCCTTTCCTTGCGTTGTTGCCAGTACCTGCGTTGTTGACTTCACTTGTGTTGTTGACTTCACTTGTGTTGTTGACTTCATGGTTGTCGTCACCTTTCTAGTGCTCATTGCTGTTGTTGGAGCTTTTGCCATGGTAGGCAATGTAGTGGTAACAGGTGGGGCTCTAGTTGTTGGGTCTGGGATATTCCCTGTTACAGTAGAGGGCAAAAATGAGAAAATGCCTGACAGAATGCAGGGCAATAATCTGCGATGTACAAGTGTCCCACTGAGGGCAGGGGATGGGTAATAATACTCCCAGTTGTGTTATGCTGTAGAAACAGATTGAATTGCTGAGAACTATGACCTTGCTTGTCTTAAAGGTTTAATTTAATGCACTTCAATACAACGCCAAGTGGCTGTCCACAAGACCAAGTCAGTGGTAAAGAATCTCAGAATACCAGAGTGCCACCTCTAGAGGCACTGATAGGATAGATGATGTTGATAATGATGATGATGATGATGCATAGTACACTACATTTGAAAAGACGTGTAGCTGAAGCACTTACATGAAAGTGTGCCTTTTGCTTTGAACACGACACAGTAACGTTTCACATCACTTTTCTTTTTACATTGAAGGTTTACTCTCATGATGTAGCCAAAATATTTAGCTGCCATGGTTCCTTTCCACTAACAACAAAGAGAAAAATAACATAAAAACAAAGGTGATTTGTGCAGTTGGCAAACACTGTAAATTAACAGAAATCGAGTTTTTATGAGTCAGGGCAATTTTTAATGTCCTGGACTTCAGATTAAGTTATCTGGGTTTCAGCCCAATCTGGGGTCATTTTTTGTTGTTGTTGCAGTGGTGTTGGGCAAGCGATTTGACTTTCACAGATTTGACTCTCATAGAGTCAAATGTTTAGTGTGCTGGACTCCGGATCAAGCAGTCTGGGTTTGAGCCCTGGCTAGGGACGGTGTCTTGAGTTCTTAAGCAAGACACGTAACCCTCACAGTGTCTCTCCACACCCAGGTGTATCAATGGGTACTGGTCAACTTAATGTGGGTGAAGGGGTAACCCTGGAATAGACTTATAGCATATCCTATCTGGGAAGAAAACTTAGAAATACTGCTCATGGTGTCATGTTACAGATATGGGAGAAATGCACTGGCATGATGGGTCAACAAAGGCTTTAATTTACGGTACTCAGAATCAGAGGCCATGCCTACTGTCCTGATATCCTGCAATATCAAGTCACTGAACTGATATGGCTGAAATATCTTGGTCATTTGGCTGAATCTGGGTACAGTAAATACCTAATCCTGCCTTTTTGGTACACTTTGGCAGCATCTCAGGCTTGTTTGGCCTTGCCATGGGTATTTTTCCTCGACTTCATCCAACGCAGTGGCCTCGTAGTTACTGCACTCGTCCCTGGATCAAGCAGTCCAGGTTCAAGCCCTGACCGGGGACACTGTGTTGTGTTCTTGGGCAAGACACTTAACTCTCATAGTGCCTCTCTCCACCCAGGAGTATAAATGGGTACCGGCGAATTGTTGGGGGAACCTAACAAATTGCGTGGGAGTGACCTGCGATGGACTAGCATCCCATCCAGGGGGAGTAGAAATATTCCTAGCCGCTTCATGCTACAGAAATCGGGGTAAGCTCCGGCAGCTATGAGCCAGTTGGCTCCCACATCCAACCAAACTATTAACCATGACTTGACCAAACTCACCTGATATTCCATGAAAGTGTAACAAAAAGGTACAATTAGGTATAGGAACACAGACTTAACCCTACCTAGATTTTAAGCACATACCCTAAGCTCATTTCTAACCCATCCAGAGATGCCATTAATACTAAAAACATCTTTCTCTTTCTTGGGTAATTGTTTCCATGTTGCATTCAATAAGTACTCCACGGACTTGACTTCACATTGATATGCCTTATTTGACAAGTATGGAATACCCTTGGAACCTGGCAAAGAGAAATCTAGTGTTGACAACGGATGGGTTGCATCTTCACTTTGAAACCATGTAGTACAACCTGTTTGCAGATAAAAATGATAAAACATATTACTTAGTTTTAATTTTCATTTATATTTTTTTAAATTTTATTAATCTGATTGTGGTGTGATAATGGAAAGTTATCATGTTGCATCTGGATTGAATCTAGGTTGGTGACTTGGAGCACAGTGAGCTAAGACACTTCTTTACTCTAACAGTGCCTCTCTTCACCGAGGAATAAAAATGGGTTCTAACACACTGCTAAGAAAACATGACGACATCGAGAGGGTTAGCTTGCCATGGACTTACATTCCATCCACGGAAAATAAGAAGGCTGGTAGTTGCTTCTTTATATATACTGTATCAGGAAATGGGTTAAACTTGTGCAGTGCTGGGAATTTTGGGCAAAGTGTGATTTCATGTGTTTAAGCTATTTTTAGTGCTTTTGACATCTTGAAATAATGAAATAATACCTGAAATAATTATTTCTCTGTTCTGTTTGCATTCAGATTGTGCAAAATAAGTTCCAGGTCAAATGAAAATAGAATTGCTCTTTTAAAGTGCTTTTTCATGGGGTGTAGATTTGTCTAAGTTTCTGTGCTCCATGCCCAGGGATTACCTGATGGGGTCTGATGAGGAGACATATTTGGACAAATCCCACAGGATCCCTCGGGTCAGCCCCTGTGGGAAGCTGTTGAGTGATGCATAACCAAGTAAATATAACAGTTTTAGCTTAGTTCCTTTTCCCCAGGTGGGAGATAGGATCAAATATAACGGGATTTACCATATGTTGAGGTCATCTTTGATAATAAGGTATTAACAGCCCTGTTTCCCAACAATAAATAAAAAATCCCCGTGGAAACACAAACATCAGGGTGCTAGTGTTGACAACCTTCCTGTCAGATTGTCAATTTACAACTAAACTGTATAAACAGGCGCGCCGCTCCCGTCAAGCAAGCTCTGTCAAAATTGTATTCTTTGTAGCAAGCTCGTATGGAACACAAAAGAGAAAATATTGAGGCTTTTAAAGGGTACATTCATCATCGAAAATGAAATGTTTTTACCACATTTCGTTATGCGATTATCATATCAGCAAAGAGATCAACGAGATATTTGCGTCAAATCCTGATTATCAAGTCAAAAGTATTGCAGATCGTTCGAGGAAACATGGGTCATCAATATAAAACAAAATATCACTGAACATACAACAAAACAACTAGTCTAATAAAGTCACGTAGCACATAGAATTGCTAAGTAAACATTCTAAGCTGGTTACCTGCAGACAAGCGAACTACGCTATTACCCACACAAGTTGTCGAGTTCATTTGAAATGTTGCAGAGGGGTATTCACATTTACATAAACAACATCCTTGATTGCTGCATTCTCCTTTCCTTTCCTTGCACCAAGCACTGCCGGCGTCAGGAGATGACAGTTTGTTGGGACACTTCGCGGAAGGATCGAGATTCGAAAACAAATCCTGCCAGTTCCAATTTTGCACGCCTCTAGAGACATTAAACAAAAGTCCTTTGCTTGAGCCAAACATTAAGAAGTACAGTAACAAAAGCCAAGGTGGCATTTTGTGGAAAAGGACTGCTGTTTACACCAAGTGGATTAAATGGACTGTTTCGAAATTTGAAATGGATTCCCCCCTTCCCGAATCTGCAGATACCCCGCTTGGTTGGACAAGAATCACATGTGACTTTTAACACCGAGGACTTTCCGGATGTATGACGATACTTACCGAAGAGTGTTCCGACGATAAACGATAAATGATTGTCCAAGAACGGAAAAAACATGGCGGAAAGTATCGAGGGTGTTATTGTGAAAGTTGAGGAGGATGACGAAGCTTTACAGCAAGCAGTCAAAGTAAATGGCCGTTATGTTGATCCCTGGGGTACTGCGAGAATGCCGTCAAAAGTTGATGTGCTCAGATGGAGGTTACTGGAGAAAAACGAACGCGGCATCGGAGGAACTTGGAGAGAACTATTTCGATTCAAACATGAGGTACAGAACGCTTAAGTGTATTTTTTCTCGTCAAAATATTCTAAATTTAAGCTTAATATTAAGAGTATTCTTTGTCTTTTGCCCTCTGCCCAGGGGTGAAGGGTCCATATTGCTGAGTGTTCTTGGAAAAGGCCTTGAATAGTATAATTAACTATTAAACTAAAAGCTTAAGCTTAAGCTTACGTCAGCTTAAGCTAAGACCAAGGGTACTTTGGACAAGATTTATATAAATCATTTAAATGGTACATAAAGATGTGTATATGGCTAATGGCTTAATTAGTTATTTAATTCGGTCTCAGTTTTTGATTTTAACCCAGGGGTGTG